TCCCGGCATCTTGAGCACTTGATACGCGTTGTGAGATGCGGCCATGAACTTCGCGAGTGCAGTTCTCCCAATGATGTCATTGTATGCTGTATCGAATTCAGCGACATCAAAGGTGGTCTGTTTCGTTCGGAAGTTATTTGCTTGGCCGAAAGTCACAGGCAACGTAATTTTGCCCAATGGTTTGAATGATGACTGAGGAGTGATTCCATGGAAGGGTTGATCGGTGGGTGTCAACTCGCTTCGTGGGATCCCCATCGCATCCAAGGTGCTGGCGAAGAGAAGGTTGATTGAGCTACCGCCGTCGATCAGAACTCGTGCGACCTTGATATTCCGAATAGTGGGTTCGACCATGATCGGATATCGCCCTGCGATGACCACAGTCTTGGGGTGGTCCTCTTCTGAGAATTCTATCTTCTGCTCAGACCACTTCATCTTGGGCGCAGCCCCCTGCCACATCGAACAAACTTCATGTTCCACCTTCTTGTATTCTCGCTTTGAGGAGTATGCTGTGGAACCTCCGAAGATGTGGGAGACATGGAGATCGGAGTCTGGATATGCTGAGTCTGATTCCTGAGTAGCCGCCTCAGCGTCCTTCTCTACCACACGTACTCGCTTGCCTTTTTCCAATGTCATGTGTTTTGCGAGCGACTTTTTGAAGACGAGGCAATCTTTTAGAGAGTGTTTGTCTGACTTGTGTATAGGGCACCATGTTTTCTTTGCGTCGCTGCCTTGTGGGTCTGGGCGCTTGGGAGGGTCCGCGTATTATGTTGTGAGAACTTCTGCTTGAGCTTTCCTTTTCCCACTCTTGCGATTTTTCTTCTTGCTTGACTCAGGTGCGTCCTTGGCTGGTTTCTTCTCTCCTCCGGTCTTCAGTTTGTCGTTCTTGCGTCTCAGTGCGTCGTTCGCATGAGCGGATCGATCGACAATTTCAAATAATCTCCGAGTAGTCGTGACGCGCCTTGTTGCCAACTCCTGAGTAGTATAGCGATCTCTGATACTGGACTTGAAAGCGCGAATTATAGAAGCGTCGGTGATTTCGGGGATTGTATTCCTGCACTCGTTAAAGCGCCGAACATAATCCCTCAAGGATTTACCCGGGTTCTATGTCAACGCATGTAGGTCGTCTTCGATCGCGTGGCGCTTGTAAGTTCCTTGAAAGTTGGCGACGAACTGCTGCCACAGGTCTGCCCACGAAGAAATCAAGTAGGGGGGAAGATGCATCAGCCATGACCGCGCAGAGCCTTTCAATGCAGTTGGCAAGTAATTCACCAATGCGTTGTCGTCCGCTCCGGCAGCGTAGAGTACCGTGGAGTAAACCTGAAGGAATTCTTTTGGGTCGGTGCTCCCATCGTATTTCTCTATTGCTCCTGGTCGGAATCTTTCAAGCCATCGAACATCTCGAAGTGAACGACCGAAAGCTCTACACCTAGCGCTGGGGGCGGTGGATTGTCGGCGATCGTACGTCCTTCGCGGATATCTATCTGATGATGAGGATGAGGAATATGACGACGATGACGATGGGTCGCTTGGTTCCGGCGTGCGATTACGAGGACGTCGGCCGGGTTCTCGAGAACCCTGTCGTCGTCACCCATTGTTGTCTCGGCGCCGATCTCCATCATCGTTGTCATTATGGCGACGTCCTCGACTAGTATCGCCTAGCATCCGCCGTTCGCGATCGTCGTGATCGCAGCGGTTATCACGGTCTCGGTCTTCGCTCGAACGACCTCCTCGTTCTTCGTTATCGTGATGCCGTGGAGAGACGCGATGTCGGGAACGGATCTCGTTGTCTCGTGTGCGTCGCGCCTCTCGGTGGCCATTCAGGTGATCGCGGAGATCGCTGGTGCCGCGAGGTGGAGGGGTGGCTCGATGAGTCGATTCCCGCTGTTCAGGGTTTTCACCATTAGCATCGCCAGTTGGTGGCTGTTCCGAGTGCTCTGCAGCAGCGGCCTCTTCGAATGCGTTGAGGTTGGTCACTGATTCCTGTAATCGTTCTGTCCATCGTGCGAGATCGTCGTTCAGAACGGGATCGTAGGGGGTTTCCAGTATTGCATTGACGGCCCTGATGTACTGGGCCGGTGTAGTCACTTGATTCTCCGCTTCCGCATTGGTGCACACTGACGTGCCGGTCTCGTCGATAGCCAATACCTCACGTGGCGTACTCGTTGGCGATGATCCATAGTCTTCGAGCAGGTGCAAGACTGATGGTTCGTGGGGATCGATATCGATTACCCCAACAAATCGATCTGAAATCAGCGTCGCTCCTTGTTCCTTGTCCTCATCCCTGAGGGGGATGCGTGACTGCTGGACCTTAGGAGGTGACATTTTCATGGCGCTGAGAAAGATCTTGCAGCTTGAGAGGTCGTGATTCTTTGTCTTGTGAATAGGACAATAGACATCACGAGTTGGAGAGGTACGTTGAATTCCACGCTCTTTGCAGGCACGAATTTCAGCATGGACGTTGAGAAAAACCCAGCAGGCTTGCAAGGTGTGTTTTCTGGTTTTGTGGATAGGACACCAGGACCTTGTCACCTCGGAAGTAATCCTCGTCGGCTCGAGATTCCTGTCGAAAAGACAAGGCTTGGCCGCACTAGGATCCTCCTCAGGCTCGGATGTCGTCGACGTTCCGATCTCCGCTTCGGCGGGAGGATCCTTCGACATGGAGTCGCCCTGAGTTGTAGCCACTGCGTTCTCGTTTCCGGCCATTGGCGAACTAGCTGAGATCGGCACTGTGGTGTAAACCGGAAAGACGATTTCGCCGACTTGAGTCCACACCAGTGTTATTGAAGTAGGAACTCCTTGGTTGAGGTTGGTGTTGACGCTGTTGTCGACGAAGCTGGATATCACAGTAGTAGAACCTTGAGCACCAAGTCCCCCTACCTGGCGCGCCACTGTCGACGAGGGATACTCGTAGACCGGATATAGAGGGTATTGGGGTACGCTGGTACGAGGATCTACGTAATATGACATCAAGCAGGTAGAAAACAAAGATTATACTGGTTCAGGCCCTTGATAGGTAATAGCCCTAATCCAGTTGATATGGGATTATATGATGGAAACCACAGATTACAAAAGGGAATAGTGGAACTCGACGATACCGACGAGATCGTAGTCGAGTTGATTCGACTAGATCACCCGGCGACTTGGCTCCTGTAAGCTCCGGCTTCGTAGGCTGTGGTGGATGTGTTGGCGGTAAGATTCGATGCCTTAGGTCCTCCCAGGGGTCCCTTTTATACCACAGGTCAACTGGTCTCCAAGTAGGACTCGGAGACATCGGACCCGATACGATACAATGACGACCCAATTCTATCCGAGTAGGACTCCTTACATCTGTGAACTCCATAATGAATTTCCTTAACTTATGCCGAAAACGTCCGTATGTGCGCAAGTATACCATATCGATATGTGACGTATATTGAAGGGTAGAGGGTATACCTTACCCGTAACCCTGACAGAGAGGGAGTAAATTTTAGCTCCATATTTTTTTTAAATAATGATAAAACAGTTGGGTTTATTACCCCCCAACATGTCGAAGTGTCGAACTAAGCTATCAGGGCAGTCCTAACCCATAGTGTCAATAAGTAGTGTTTATGGTGTCATGTCAATAAGACATCATAATAAAAACTACACTCTACAACCCATGGTTTTTTTAAAGTGAGCCATTAATAAATACACCAACTCTCTTATCTACCAATCATATTTATTCTTCCTCTATTATGAAGACATTATTCTCTCCCAATGCAAAACTTGATAGTGTGTAGTGCATAGGTTCTCGTGTTGAAACTGTGTCTTGCATGAGACCCAGTTTCTTCCTCTCTTCTCTATCTTAATTAATATATTGCCACATAAACTAAAAATCCTATATGGCAATATAGTTAATGCTATAAACACCATTCTAGGTGGAGGGTTGGGACTGCACTCAGCAGTTTGCGATTTTTTTTCCCGTGTAGGGGCCCTGTTGCGGTGGAGCCCAGCCACTCATGATGAGCTAAACACGTGTAGTAGTACTACTCCAGTCGTATGTACTATACACTCATTATCACCGAGTAGTTAATTACTTAATTAGTAGACCCCTGTCAACGTCGCTTAACAGGTGATCATTAGGACTTAGGAGCGACCTTAATTACCCATGACCAGGTGCCCCATCATGAATATCAACGATAATCTCAGACGTCCAAATGGTCAGCTCAGCTCCGTATACTCGTATACAGCAGCAGCCAGAATCTGCGGTAATCCACCGCTCGGTCGCCGCTGCCCGAATCTCAAAGCGAACGTGCCATCTCGCGGACACCTGGGCGGCTCACCGTGTCGGCCAGGTGGGCCCCCTCGCCTTCCTCCTGGGACCAGGGCCTCCACGTGAGCCCAGCGAGCAAGGTCTCCCGCCACGTGTCCGCAACTGACCAGCGGGCCCCACCTGGGCCGGGCCCCACAACCCTACCGCCTAAACCAGCACATATGCTCGCTGCCTCACTGGGCGGCGACGACAGCAACACGAGTTGCCTGAAATGAGCGAATCCGAGTAATTGTGCCACTTCCAAAGCATTGAACTCGAGGAAGAACGCATCGTGCGTGTGTTTTTTTTCTCCTCTTTCCCAAACGATTTTGCTATGTATTTGTCGATAAATTTTTTCCTAAAAATTTGACAGATGTAATTACAGTACAATCGTAGTGTAATTACACTGTAACTTGCATGTAATTACACTATAACTATAGTGTAACTTGTATATAACTTTTAAAATCTCTACGTAATATGTTATTTCGGTAAAATAGAGGTTGTGCGAACAAATCCTTACACATATGTGTGTGCTGTGATTTTATTTTTCTTCATCACCAAAACAAATCTTGTAATAGATCTAAAGATTCAAAATTACATGAAACTTATATAGAAGTTACACTGTAGTTATGTATAAGTTACAGTGTAATTACATATAAGTTACAGTGTAATTACACTACGATTGTACTATAATTACATTTATCAAATTTTTAAGAGAAAATTTATCGACAAATGTATAGGTGGTTCCTTCCCAAATCAGCTCGCTAATATTCGGCGCGCCTCATCCCTCGCCGAAAATACAACCCAATCTCGTGCCTTTTTGCGTGCAAATTCGCAAGGTTTTCACGTTTTTTTTAACCCATTTCCACGCCCTTCCTTTCTCATCGTCACGGATGTGATTAAGCTCTAACCGAGGAGTAATTAGCACTGACAGCTCGTGTTAACAGCAAAGAAGTTTGTTGTTTAAATTGGGCCATCGTCGACGAAGCTGCCAGTCGCCATCAATCATCACGAGATTCCCCCATCCGCGAAGCATCCCCGCCGCCGTCCACCCGTGCGGATCGCCACGTGTCAGCATCAGAGCCATCTATCCTCCTCGGGCAACACGTGTGCGCGCCCCTCTATAAGTGGCTTCGCCTTCCAAATTTCGCCGCCGCGAGACACGACAGAGAGAGAGAGAGAGAGATCGCGCGCTTCTTCTTCTCCACCGCTTAGGTAATTTTGGGTTTGCCGATCTGTGTTGGATATGACGCCGCCGCCGCCGCCGCCGCGCCGCCGGATGCTGGCGATGCCGGCGGTGTGCCCATGCGAGGACATCTCGCCCGGGACGCTGCTGGCGTCGCTCGCCACGCTTTCGGCCGACGTCGCCGACGGGTGCGACGTGGACAGGCTGCCGGCGCTCCGGGGCGGCGTCGGCGTGGCCGTGCGCGTCGCCGGGTTGCTCCGGGAGTTCCTTGAGGAGGTCCGGTGGGCGGCGGCGGCGGAGCTCCCCGGTGGCTCTGTGCTGGGGATGTCCGAGCTGCACGTGGCGTTGCAGAAGATGCGGTTCTTGCTAGAGGATTGCGGGAGGAAGGGGGCGCGGATGTGGGTGCTGATGAACGCGGAGGCTGTGGCGTCGGAGCTGCGGGTGGTGCTCGGCTCGGTGGCGACGGCGATGGACGTGCTCCCCGCCGGCGTGGTCGCGGCGTCCGACGACGCCAGGGAGTTCGCGGCGCTGGTGTCGCAGCAGGCGTGGCGCGCCGCGGTGCGGCCGGACGAGGAGGACTCCCGCGCGGCACGGAGCGTGCGGTCGATGCTGGCGCGGTTCAGGAGCGGCGCCACGCCGGACGCCGAGGACGCGAGGCTGGTGCTCGGCCGCGTCGGCGTCGCCAGCTGGTGGGACTGCTCCCAGGAGGTGTCCTTCCTCGAGGCCGAGATGCTCGAGCGGCTGGAGGCCGGCGGCGAGAACGACAACGACCTCGTGCTCATCAGCGGCCTCTTGACGTTCCTGCTCTACTGCCGCGTCGTCCTGTTCGACCGCATTGATTACGGCAAGGCTGATGAGCCGGCGCCGGCGCCGGCGCCGAGGGCGGCGAGCTACTTGGCGCGAATCAATCCGGAGGGGCTGCAATGCCCGATCACGCTGGAGCTGATGACTGATCCGGTGACATTGGCCACCGGCCAGACCTACGACCGCGCGTCGATCAAGCGGTGGGTGAAGAGCGGGTGCCGGACGTGCCCCGTCACCGGCGAGAAGCTCCGTAGCGCCGACGTCGTGCCGAACGTCGCGGTGCGCGGGATCGTCGAGCAGCTGCTGCTCAGCAGCGGCGTCTCGCTCCACGAGCCGAGCAGCAAGCACCGGTGCGCGGTCGACAAGACGGCCTCGCCGTTCGGTGCCGCGGCGGCCGGCGGCGCGCGCCTCGCCGTGGCGTTCCTCGTGTCCAAGCTGTGCCGTGGCACGCCGGAGGAGCAGAAGAAGGCGACGTACGAGTGCCGGAAGCTGTCGAAGCGGAACGTGTTCCACCGGGCGTGCCTCGTCGACGCCGGCGCCGTGCCATGGCTGCTCCACCTCCTCTCCTCCCCGGACGCCTCCGTCCAGGACAATGCCGTGGCTGGCCTCCTCAACCTCTCCAAGCACCCCGCCGGCAGGAGGGCGCTCGTCGAGGCCGGCGGGCTGGGCCTCATCGTCGACGCCGTGAGCGTGGCCGCCAAGGTGGAGGCGCAGCAGAACGCGGCGGCCATCCTGTTCTACCTCTCGTCGGACGCCGGCTACTGCGATGAGATCAGCCGCATCCCGGAGGCGATCCCGACGCTGGTCCGGCTCGTGCGGGAGGGCGCGTACCGCGGCCGGAAGAACGCGCTGGTGAGCCTCTACGGCGTGCTCCAGCGCGGCGCGGGCGGCCACGGCAGGGCGGTGTCCGCCGGCGCCGTGGCGGCGCTCGCGTCCCTGCTGCCCGGCGACCGCGACGACCTCGCCAACGACGCCGTCGCGCTGCTGGCGAGGCTCGCCGAGCAGCCCGCCGGCGCGGCGGCCGTCCTCTCCAGCTCGGCGCTCGTCACGCGGCTCGTCGACTTCCTCGGCGCGTCGGCGTCGCGGTCGGCCAAGGACCACTGCGCGGCGCTGCTGGCGTCGCTGTGCCGGCACGGCGGCGACGCGGTGGTCGCCCTGCTGGGGAAGACGCCGGGGCTGATGCCGTCCCTGTACGCGCTCATCGCCGACGGCGGCGCGCAGGGGAGCAAGAAGGCGAGGTGGCTCGTCAACGAAATCCACCGGCATTACGAGCAGCGGCAGCCGCCGGTGGCCGCGCCGCCGGCCGGCGACCGTGTCATTCGAGTATAGTACACGAATCCTTTTTTTTTTTGGGAGAATCGTATAGTACACGCGCGAGCTTTGTGGTATATACGGTGTACATTTGAATTTGGATTTTTTGGGGATGTAAATATTTTCTGTCCCGGCTTGAATTTTTGAAGAGCAGGGATGGATTTTGATTTTTCGTTTTACTCCACTGTGATACACGCACGCATGTACATTTATTTATGTGTGTATAGTTGTACAGACACAATAATGTATAATTGTACGAGTGACTAAAGTGGTTTGCAACTCTGCATTTTTCTTCTATCTGTCAAGTGTTCTCCGGGCAAAAGATGTCGATTTGTTATTGTAGTACAATTTGATAGGTTGCTTGACTGAATTTATTTGGGATTGTTCTTGCTTGTGGTACATGCAATTCTTCATGAAGGCGTAAGCGAGCAACCTCAGCTTTGGAGGTCTCGTTTGAAAAAGCAAAATGATGTTCGCTCGATCGATCATAGTATCTTGCTTCAGCAAGTTATGGTTGCTTGCAATGCTGACCTACTGTTTTCTGAAGATTCAGGCCAGTATTTGAAAATAGTCTGTTTGTATAGGTAAAAAATACGATGTGTAATTAAAAGTACAAAATTGGACAAAGGCCCGTCTAGCTCAGTCGGTAGAGCGCAAGGCTCTTAACCTTGTGGTCGTGGGTTCGAGCCCCACGGTGGGCGTGTTTTTTATTGTTTTTATTCATTATTAAGCTCGATTTTGAACTCAGTACTCAGGCAAATTAGGTTTGAATTCAACGCAAACCTCTTAATTAGCATTCGGGGGATTAATTTGTTCAATTCTGATTCACACACGCTTTAATTGCAGTTTGTGCAATTTCTCAAAATTTTGCAGTGTTGAGATGGAGGCGGCTCATGATTATTTTTTTATAGATTTGCAGCATTATAATATATTCTACCAAGTACTATTTTCTTATATTTTAGAATGGGATGGAGGGGTAAGATTTAAGAAGCAGGCTTGTCTTCTCAACCATGTCTGTAGGGCGTGAGACAGTGCGAATAGATTGATGACATAATCAAAGCTGCTTTCTTGTTTAATCCTTGATTAGTTAATTAGCTCTGCTAAACCCCAACAATCCAACACAACCAACTAAAACACACAGGCATTAGGCAGATTCTTCTCCGAAGCGTATCATAATAATGTTACAACGTATAAAGTTCCATTAAGGTATTAACCCAACATCAACGAGCCAAAAATACAAGTCCAGCTTCTGCCGCGAAGACATCTTTTTTTTTTTCGTTTTTGGACACGCTTCAGGTCATGTGTTTCATTTCGATGAATCTTTATTATAGAAGACTTTGAACAACGGAGGGACAAATAACAATTTATATGTAGATTCTTCCGTGTGGTTGTGCTTGGTGTTCATACTATATATATATAATATGGATTTCGCTAGAAAATGAAATGAAATGAAATCATGCGTGACATATGATTGACCGGTGATTTAAATGATCTCATCATGGTAGGTGCTCGGTGGAGCATCAACGTCCTTACATATAGCAATTTCCTGGTGGAAAATATGTTGTAATGGCTACCCATCAAAATCTTTGAAATATAATTGAATGCCCTAAAGGCCAAAAAAGAAAGAAAGCATCTGTCCTTTAAAGCCAAAAAAAAAACCATCCGTCCTTTCTCATTAGATCAGATAATATACTGGCTACTGCAATTAATTTAGAAAAACAAGGCCCTGCTTTGACACTCTTTCAGATTATAACTCAAAGCGAATTTGAATGTTAACGTTTGGTTTTAAGAATATTTTTTAAGTGGAATATTTGTTTATTACTTATCATATTATTATAGTTTTGAGTAAATCAGACGGTACATGCAAATCCATATTTAGTATTAGCATTACAAGCTTATTTAACACACAAAAAAATGCATGTTTTTGGTTGGCATGTCATTTCTTGTCATCACAAATTACATTTGTACGGAAGAACATGCTTGTACCCAACAGGAGGTAAATTATTGAATATCTATACATCTGCTTTGGTCCATAGGGACCAGAACTTAATTCTAGAATCAATTTAAGGATTTATTGGTTGTTTTGATCTCTCTGTGTTGGCTTTAATTAGAACTTAGAAGTATAAAAAATAGTAATACCTGATATTTTTTTTGTTGGATCAATTTTATAAACTACAGACAAGAATGTATTTTGAAAGCAAGTAGGGAGTCCGGTCCGATCCGCCGTGAATCCAACTAAAGTGAGGATATTGTCAGTATTTTCTAAAACACAACAGACGTGGATTAGGATATGGTATTCCGAAAATATAGTGACATGAGTTTTTGACTTTTTATTATGCGGATTATTAAACAAAATATTACTTGAATAATACGATTTTATAAGGAAATATCATTCACCATAATAGTCTAATCAAGTGGCTTGTCTATTTTTTTAAAAAAACTTCGTTATTGCTTTTCTTTATCCATTTAAGCTGAGTTCTTTTCACAACTTTCCCAACCCACATATTTCGTTTTCCGCGCGGACACTTTTCAAACTGTTAAATGATGTGTTTTTTTTTAAAAAAAATCTATACAAAAATTACTTAAAAAAATCATATTAATACATTTTTTTAAAAAATAATAATTACTTAATTAAAAAATAAAGAAAGTGCGTCATTTCGTTCGGCGTGCGCGAGCTCACCTCCCGGACACAGCCCCAGTGGCTGGTGCGCTTGGCCCATCTACCGGCGGCCCAGACACCCCCACCCCAGCAGGCCGCAGTCCTGCAAGTTGGGCTGCCAAGCTTGGCTGGGCCGCAATGAGTCCACGAGCTCCCAAGCTTCCATCTGCTCGATCTGCCGAGGTGTGCAACACTATTCCAATTGCCGCAACACTATTTCCAATTAGTCAATAGAAATTACAGTACCCATTACCATCGGTAGCAGATCCAACAAGAAAACAAGTCAGGAGCTAGAAGCAGTAATGAGTCAGCATGGGACCTACATCTTTTCTTATATATTTTTTGTGTGCCTTAGATGTGGATCCCATACTGACTCATTTGTCACGTTAGCGAAACAAACCTTTTATAATACCGGAGGACCTAATTTAACCCGGTTTTGCAAGTTGAGTCAAGATATCTATTGCAGTTTTGGGAGGTGATTTAAACTCGATGAAAAGATGATGGATGTAAAGTGGACTTATTCCTAAGGGCCCATTTGGATAATGGGAAAGGGAAATGATTTCCCACCTATGAAGGGGTAACTTTGAATCATAGCCATCCATTTTCTTCACCTTATTTTAACCTAGCCCTTCATTCATTTCCTAATTCTAATCTCGCCCTTTATTTCCCATTAGGAATAAGTTCACCGGAGGTTCCTCAATTTAACAGCGAGATTTTTTGAGGCCCTTAACCACAAAACCAGAAATGTGTACCCCTAAACTCACACAAACTATTCAAAGGAGGTCCCATAGTAGTATATGTGGGTGGTTTCGCTGACGTGACATCCTAGTCAGCAAAAAAAAAATTTAAAAAGTACATGGGGCCTACATATCAGTAGCACTTTTTTTTCTTCTCATCTCCTTCTCTTCTCTTTTATCTCTTCTCTTTCTCTGAAATCTCCTCTTTCTCTTCTTCTTTGGTGAGTGAGGCCGGCGGCGGAGAGGGCAGAGCGGCGATGGGCGGGAAGTGGGCGAGCGCGGCGGCGGGTCCACGCGGCAGCCGAGCGGCGACAGGCAAGCACGGCTTGCGGGCGGAGCAGCGGCAGCGCGGAGCGGCGCCAGGATGCGGGCAGAGCGATGATGGTCGGCGGCGGGCGAGCGGAAGGCAAGAGCAGCGGGCTGCGGGTAGAGCGGACAGCGGGCGAGCCCGGCGGGCGGAGGAGGGGGCCGCAATGGCGGAGGTGGCCGAAGGAGGAGCGTGGCAGCGGTGGGCGAGCTCCGCCGGCCTACTCAGCCCACCACGTTGCCGAAGAAAGAGAGGAGCATGGCGACGACGGTGGTGAGGCAGACGAACTCCGAGCGCGAAGGGCCCCACGCGGAGCTCCTTGGCGATAAACGCGCTGTCCGGCGACCGGCAGGACGCCTAGCGCTTGACGAAGACGAAGATTGGTTGGATGAACACCTGGTAGGCGCCGACGAGGTGCACGACGATGGAGACGTTGGCGACGTCGAGCAGCCAGAAGGACTCGTAGAACCCGAACCCCGTGAGGAGGTTGTTCAGCAACGCGTAGCCCATGCACCCACACAGCATGTAGAACACCGTTGTCGTCACCACGCTCAGCCTCGTCGCGCTCTTCATCACCTTCGCCTCCGATGGTGGCGGCGCCTTGATCGTGTCCTGAACAACAAAACAGAGCAAGCAGCGGTGAACAAACAAGGTTTGCTCAGAGAAAAAAAAACAGAGCAAATTAACTTTGTAGCTAATGGTGTCAGTCTCACTCACTTGGATCTCAATGAGGATGTTGGAGGAGTAGGCGAAGGCAATGTCACCGAATGCCTGCAGGCTGCGCCATACTTTCTGTGTTGAGCTGACACCGACGCCGATGCTGATGCCGGTGAGGCTGCCATGGATCCCGCCATTGGCTGCAAATTCAGAGCTCATCACGGTAAGCAAAGACAAATTAAAGAACCAGATTATCTGTATGTGACAGAAGAATTAATGGACGTTACTCGAGCTGCGGCACAGGGCGCCATGGCCGTTGTGGTGTAAGGGTTACTCGCGCTCGTCTGCTTGCCCGTCGTTGTGCTCGTCCGCTCTAACCGCCGTCGTGCTCGGCCGCTTGCCCGCCGCCGCGCTCGGCCGCTCGCCCGCAGGCCGCGCTCAGCTGCCGCCGCCCGCCGTCGCTCGGCTGCCGTGCTTGCACGCTGCCCGCCCATCGCCGAGATAAAGAGAAGAGAAGGAAAAGAAAATAAAAGAAAGAAAATGTGCAACTGACATGTGTGCCCTATGTACTTTTTTAATTTTTTTGTTGACTAGGATGCCACGTCAACGAAACCACCCACATATACTGCCATGGGACCTCCTTTGAACGGTTTGTGTGAGTTGAGGGGTACATATTTCTGGTTTTGTGGTTAAGGGACCTTAAAAAATCTCGTTGTTAAGTTGAGGGACTTCCGGTGAACTTATTCCTTTCCCATTATCCAAACATAGCCTAAGTGCATTGGTCCGCCAAATAGGCCAACCACAAAAAAGCCCTCTAATTCTCTGGGCTGGGCTATACTCAATGGGAACGTTGCGCGAGGCCCACCATAAAAAAATCCATCTCCCTCCGCACCCGGATGTACAGTATCACCGTTTCCCTCAGATTTGGGTTAGTACAAAACCAGAAGCCTAGGCCCTGAACTAAACTGAAAAAAAAAAAAGAAGAGATAACTGCATGCGCTGCTGTATGATTTATATTTGTGTAAATATTCGCAAGTCGCAACACTTGTGTGTACCGGTCTAGGTCTACCCATATTGCCCGTCAGGGTAGCAATTTGTGTGCTTTTTCTGTACCTGAATCTGGCTGTGTTTTCTTCTCTAAACACTAGGAGACATTTTGTCTGAACACGAGGAGGCAGGATTTTTTTATCATGGGTGTACAGAACTGATTAATGAGCTGAAATAATAAGGTCTTTGTAGCGAAAAATTATGGACAAATAGTTGTACATGTGATTTAATGATGTGAAATTGATGTTTCAAGTGAAAATCCATCTATTTGGTCAAAATTATAGTAGTACAATTTGACAGAAAGACCGTAGCTTTGACTATTAGTAAAAAAACTTGGGTGGGCATGCATTTGTACACCCATGACCCTATACTGCCCCCCGCCCATGACACGAGAAATATAATGGCGGATGCCAAATTAAGATAATCTGTAGGCAGCAACTTGACAACGACCTTAATTACTAGTATAAACAGTTATTTATTCACTGAAATTGGCATGGTGTTAAAAAAAAGCTTACTAGTATAATCCATCACAAACGATGTTAAACCAAAGGTTCTATCTAAACCACCACAAATGTATTATAAACCAAATGAATTAAGACGCCAATTTGTAGCTTGGAAGCAAGATGAACAAGTGGCAGAGAGTTCACTGGCTAGCTTAATTAGAGATCAGGTCAGCAGGTTATCCTCTCTCTGTCTCTCTAGATCTCTTTCTAGAGATTAATCTTATCGCCTGTAAAACACGCAGTCACGTTCGACGTACGTACGCTGGTTGCAAATTGCATTAGCTCATCATTTCCATACAAGAGTTGACCACCAATTTTCTTTACAGAATTGTCATCGTCTACTGTTAATTAAGCACCCTAACAGCTGCAATTACCATTGATAAATCTCTTTCTCTGAGCTAGCCACGCCACCTGTAACATTTGGTCTGTGTCTGAAATATTCCTGCGCCAAAGAATAGAGTTTACGTGTAAGCTTCCTGTCTTTCCCTGACAAGAACACCATAATAAACTCCGGTTTGCAGCGGACGCATGCCATTATTTACAAGAGTAGTATATATGGCATCTTTTTTATATTTAAAACAAACCAACTTTGCATATTTTGACCAACAATTGGTCAGATTTAAGTCATGCAATGTAGTATTAAGGTTCTATCAAGAATGTGCTTTATAAGAAACCAATGTGAAGTTTAACCTTAAAGACTTTCTTCTAATCATAAAAACATCTTATCGGAGGAAAATGTTTATTATTGCTCAACACTACATGGAATTATTCCAATCTTTCCGAGTATCATTCATGATCCCGTCTATATATCATATCGTGTATGAATACATGACACCTTCAAAACATACAATTTGAACAAACACAACTTACGACAAAACACGTACACTTTAATTGCACATAATTAACATATAACAGCGATTAAAAATAGGGCAAAAGAAAGGACGGAGAGGAGGGTCTCAAGGTCATTTGATTCATTCATTCATTGATAGCATGGCTCCAATGCTCCATGCTTCCATCGATCAGCTCCAGAACCAGGCGGTCCAGCTGCCGAGCTGCGCCTCCTCGTCGTCCGCGGCGTCGTGGTGCACAACTCCGGCGGCGCCGAACATGGCGGCGGCGGCGGCGGCGGCGTCGGGGAGGTCGAAGCTGCAGCCCTCGTCGCTGACCGCGCCGCCGTCCTCCTCCTCCGACGAGAGGGCGTAGTGCCCGGCGCAGTCGCGCTCGTACGCCTCCGCGGCGTCGGCGAAGTACGCCGACTCGCAGCTGAGGCGGTCGTTGGCGCCCTCGGTGACGTCGAAGACCACCACGGCCGCGCCGCCATCGCCGTCGTCGTTGGTGCCGCCGCTGCTCACAAGATCATCTTTATGCGGCGGCTGCTGGTGGCCGGGCGGTGGCGCCGCCAATGCGCCGTCGACGGTGGCGAAGCCGGTGGTTGACGCGGCCTCCGTGTGTTCGTCCGGCTGGTCGACCTCCTGCGCCGCGGTGGTGATGGTCGCCGACGACGGCGACGTCTCCTTGTCTTGCAGCTTCTCGGTTAATGAGATTACCTGTGACATTAAGCATTACAGTGAGGGACTATTCAGAAAGGGGGGCAACATTTTTGAAATTTGGAAAGATTTTGGCTGAATTTGATCAAATTATGGTAAATTCACAAAAATCTGAAGTAAATTCAGGAGAAATAGTTTCATGCCAGGGGATCCGAAATTCCCAAAATCTTAAACCAAAATACTAAACCCTGCCGGTGTCACAATATACTGAATTACTGATAATCAGTGGCGGATCCAGAAAATCGATTCGTTAGTGTCATAACGTGTCTATCGGTGTCATAGTATGTTAATTATATTTAGATTATAGTGTTATAATATGTGGATAAGCAGTTTCGCTATAGATTTTGCCGAAAGTCGTCGGTGTCGCCTGACACCGCTCATACTACTGTAGATCCGCCCCTGCTGATAATGCTCAAGGCATGATATCATTTCCTATGAATATGCAGTTATGTCATAGGTTTTGCAAGAAGTCATTGGGATCCAATGCTGACACTGTACCCCCAATGTAAGCATATATGCTGATCACTTGGCCGGCATCGCTGTCTCAATCTGATCCACCGGCCAAGGTACATGCAGGCATGTGTGTGATCTAGCCTCAAGATTCGTGAAGTCTAGTCTAAGACACACCATGTGATGCTCGTGTACAACTCGAGGCATTACACAAAAATGACTTGTGTGAAGCACCTGAAGAATAGCTAGATCTACTATTTTTCTTGTTGCAAAATGCAAAGTGAAGGTGAACTAATTCAGTATCCTAGTTCATTTTTACTTTTTTTTTGTTGGTGTTTAGTGGACTTTAAAGAAATTAATGCTAGTACTATGCAAGAAAAATGTTAATGGTATTTTCAAAATTTCCCTGGTTGACTCTTTCATTTCTTATCATGTACTGCTTCTATGTTCTCCAAAGTCAATCTCACAGTACATAATTCCTGTCCTTCGGTATATCTGTCCTGGGACGTACTCCCTCCGTCTAAAAAAAGCCAACCTAAGAAGGGACCCCTCCTAATACAATGAATCTAGACAATTGTCTTTTTTTGGAATGGAGGGAGTACATCTGGAGTGACATGAATTTTACATCCATGCATGTGAACCATAGTCTAACCAGTTTTAATTTGAGTTTTGATCAATGATCAACTATTGAACCACCGTTGAGATTCCAAGTGCCCAAGTTTATACTACTGGGATAGCAAGAACATGCTAGTTTGCGGTTGCTAATCCAACAGTATGACACAGCTAACAGAATCAAGCCCCCTCTAACAACATGTTAGGTGGGTTTATTGTAGATTCCCTGGATTTGATACAGAATATATATCGCTTGCTGATAATAAACGATGACAATCTTAACCAAATGTGCACCCGCTGAGGAAAAACATGAATGCATGGTCACTCCTTATATCAAGATAAGAAATTCCTCAAATTATGATGTTCTCTACTTCTCTTCCTCACTAAGAAAATAACATGCTCTAGAATTTAGATCAACAACTTCTAATTGAAAAAAATAAAGATGATGCTTTCACCATTTTTGCAACTTCTAATTGAAAAAATAAGGATGATGCTTTCACCATTGTTGCAACTAAACTCAAGACCCTAAAAAAAACTAAACTAAACTCACGAAGCTCTGCCTAGTAATTTGAACAAAAATACATTTTTGCCTTATTTTTTACATGAACATGATATTAACAAAAAAACAAAGTGATTGGACAAATAAACATCTGTTCTAGCTTGGTGAAATACCCACCAGCTTGAAAGGCTTCTTTTTTTCTTCTTTGTGGGTTACAAGTTAAAAGGCACTTGACCTACGCTGAAAAAAAATAGTTTTAGCGTTTAAAAGCCAAGGCTGAAGGCTGACAAAGACGAAACAATCTCTAAATTAATTCTAAAAATAAGCTCTAAATTTCAAAATTTGACCGCGGCTGAAGCAGTAGCCAACTGTGAAACGGAGCAACCATATGAATTCACGTGATTACACGAGCTGAGAAAAAACAAAACAAAGAGTACATCTAGTCGTCAGGATATTCTAAAAAAAATTAAGAGAAATATGCATGTGCTGCTTAGATTAGCGGTGCTTAGACTTTGGGAAACGAGCATAAATATGTTCGTTAGATTCCTAACCACTGTTTAAAAAGTTTGATTTAAAAAAAAACTTAAAAAAACGCATCGAGTTGTGGGTCGCCGCTGATCGCTATCCAATGAAAAGGCGCCAAAAAGTGGAATCTTATTTTACAAGTGCGGTTGTATTTTTACAAAAGGGGGGGGGGGGGGGGGGCTATTTTTACAAAATTAAACTACGGTACTACCATTTTGCACCGAAGCCCCCGAACTTGTTCGAATTTTAAAAGAGCGGTCCTTCGATCACAAGAAATTAACTGCGGTAATTAATTAATTGAGAAGGGTGAAAAAAATCAGTGGGAGACCTGCGCGCGGAGGCGGTCGTTGTCGGAGAGGAGGGCATGGTGGTCGGCGGCGAGGGCGTCGTAGGCGGCCTTGAGGCGGTCGAAGTCGTGCTCGAGCTGCTTGGTCTTCCAGCGGGCGCGGCGGTTCTGGAACCAGACGGCGACCTGCCGGGGGGCCATGCCGAGGCGGCGGGCGAGCTCCGTCTTCCGCTCCGGCTCCAGCTTGTTCTCCTCCTCGAAGCTCCGCTCCAGCATCTGCACCTGCTCCGCCGTCAGCCGCCGCTTCTTCTCCGGCGCCTGCTCGTCGTAGTACTCCTCCTCCAGGAGCTCCTCGTGCGTCGTGAAGAACGGCCGCTTCGCCCCCGCCCCCGCCGCCGACGACGACGACCGCGATTCATCCATCCCCAGCACCGCCGCCGGCACGCCTGCGTTATAACACGCGTCACTCGCCTGAGACGGAGACGACGACGATCTCTATTGGATCTCTGTTTACCTCGGAAGAAGCCGCCGCTGTTGGCGCTGCCGCCGCCGCCGAAGAGAAGCATCTGCGCGCCGCCGGGGCACGCCCGCCGCGCCACGCCGGAGTCGAACACGACGCGGCCGGGATCCATGCTCTCCTCCCCCTCTTCTCCTCCCTTCTCCAAGAACCCAAGAAAACCCGATCTCGAAGCTGCTCTCCCGTTCACGCACGCACGCGCACCTACCAACCGCGCGCTCCGCCGCCGGCTCGCCGCCGCCGCCCGAGAGGGCGTGGGCTTAGAAGGAGGAGGCGACCTTATGGCGGAAGAAGCTGGTGCTCCACAGCATGCGCGTCGACGTCTTCATGGGGTACAGCGAGAACCCCATGCCGCCGCCGATGGAGGAGGAGGAGGAGAAGAAAAAGAAGAGACAAAGCCTTCTCCGGCGAGGTGCTCCTTCCGGTGGCCGGCCGGCCCGGCCAGGGACCTAGTTGTAAATATAATATTTTCAGAGGGGCCTCAATGTGAAAAAATGGGCAGGTGATGGGAGAGGAGGCAGGGCAGCAGATGCGAAATGTCTCTCTCTTTCTTTTTTTTTATTATTTTTTGTTTTTGGGATTTTTTTGACTTCTGAATTTTGTTGCTAAAGTTGAGAGCCACTGCGGGGTTGGGTTTATGTAGGCAAGGGAAGGGTATGGATTTGACAAAAATGCCCCTGATTAGCGTGTGGCTTTGCCTCCTAATTGGGGGATTTGGGGGCATCTTAGTGTTAATTAATGTGGTTTGAGGGATCTAAGGTGCCACTGATCGCGGATCTTGAGACACTTGTTAGGTTTAAGCGAGGGCAACTATGTTGGATTACCAAATAGTACTCCCCCCAGTAGCACAATTTAAAAAATGAAGAAAAAGAAAATAATAGTTATATGTGCATACAGCCTAGCATGATAAAAGACCATATGCATTTGTCTAGTGCATATTTCTATCAGCTTAAGTTTGTGATTTTTTTGACATATACCTAATGGTGTGTTTAGTTCGCGAAAAGAAAATTTTTGGGTGTCTCATCATATGTTTGACCGGATGTCGGAAGGGATTTTCGGACACGAATGAAAAAACTAATTTCATAACTCGCAACCGTGAGACGAATTTATTAAGCCTAATTAATCCATCATTAACACATGTAGATTACTGTAGCACTTATAGCTAATCATTAACTAATTAGGCTCTAAAGATTTGTCTCGTGATTTCTATGCAAACTGTGCAATTAGTTTTTTTATCTATATTTAATGCTCCATGCATATATCCAAAATTCGATGTGACGTTTTTGGTAAAAAAAAATTCTGGAACTAAACAAAGCCTAAGTTTGATGATGATGGGTACTGTTTTCCTTTTTCCGATTATGATAGGGTTGTCACACTTGAAGTAAATTAGTAATGTTTTTTTGTCATCAGCTTTGCGAATTAAATTGCATAGACTTGGATATACACTAAGAATATGTATCTTGTCACATGACACGTGGGACCCAGCTAAAAGGATATGTCAAGAAATATGATCCTCACATTCCTAATCCCTGAGCTGGCTTTCAATTCCCTCCTTTGCAATTTGTTATCTTTTGTTTCCTTTCAAAAAAGAAATTGTTATCTTTTGTCTGATTGATAATCTATGTGGGTGTAGGACTGTAGGCTCACAGTTATATCTGTTTTTTCGTAGATTTCACAGGGGACAGTCTCAGCTATAATTCAGAATTATTGGATGGCAAATTGTTGGTTTGTGAGATTTAACTTATATATAATATGGTAGGGGGCATGCACTTAATGTACAATTGTACATTCACTTGTAAGCCAAGTGGATGCTTCATTGCAAGTGAGAACCGCTCTCGTAAAGAAACTATATGTATAGTGATCATTATTGGTTGTCACCCATATATTTTTTCATCAAAAGTTCTATTAGTCGAAATACATGTCTCTTTTACTGAGTTTCTACGAGTAAATTTCACAATTCTATGTATATTTTGATAAAATTATTGAATTTAATATAAATATTTATGAGTAAGTTTCACAATTCTACCGGTATTTCGACAAAATTATTGATTTTTAAGTATATAATATATAATAAATCTATAAATTTAGCACTGGAATTATCATAAAACTACATATTTTAGCCATAATATCGTAGAACAAAATATTAAGAAATCAAATAAAAAGGCTAAACATTTTAAGGGTTGATTATTACCATATTTGTCCTAATGGAATTTTTAAAACTTATAGTGTTACAATAGAATGCCGCTAAATATGTATAGCTTAAATATTGAGTTTTGTCATAATTTGATACTGATATCTAGTTTTACGATATTATGCCAGTTTTTCAATAGTTAAATTGTTAAAAGTATTGTCACTTTTACCTAATTTATTCCATCCTTATATCTGCTTGTTGATTTGAAGTAAAATCCAAAACAACCTTAGATCAGCATATCAGCGCCTTGTTTGATGTTTGTTAGGTCCCCATGACCTAATAAGATAGCCTGATAGTCATATTTTTAAAATGAATATCCTTCTATTTAATTGGCACATAGATGAGCAAAAACTAGTTGCAGCCAAAAATTATAAAATTTCTGCCCATGCATGCTAATTAAGCCGGTAGCTAGCTAGCTAATTTCCACCCACTCCCGTCGTTAATCTCACATTAGCATAATAATATCAAAATTAATAATCTCTTGTTTTTTAAAAAAAATTTGCAGCAGAAGTAGTACAAATTGGTCGCTTTCTTCCCAGTCGGCTGGTTCAGCGAATGAGCAGCGGCTTGCGTGCAGCCGCTAGCCCTAGGCGCATCTTGATAATTTCGAAACGGCTAGGAAACCCAGGGACGTCATCGGCACGCGCAGACGGCGACCTCGATCGGCGCTGACGTGGACAAAAGTTAGCAGCTTCAAACTCGGGGGTTCAAGTGTTTAACCTTTACTTAATTGACTTTTTGTGTTTGTAGGAGCAAAAATGACTGGTTCACAGTGCATGGTGGGAGAATGGATTTATTTTTGCCTTACCTCAGCTGATGATGATGTGTGTATTTGGATGAGCTGGTGAAAGAAAACCATGCTGCCCCTGGTATTTGGAGTACCCTGTATTTACTTTTTTATGGATATGTTTGATCGTAAATAGATGTGTGTTGGCAAAAAAGAATTATCCAAAATTATGGATAGTGTGGGTCGAGTTGGGGCAATATATTGACTTGCCCTGAATTATTCTATGTAGAAAATCGACTGCATATATTTTGATAAAATATAACCAGATGAAAATTTTGTTCATGTGTTGTTGCGGAAAGTTTATGCCATGAAATGATAAACATAAGATATAGAGAGAATCCACTCAGTGCCACTGAGTTTCTACCACTTCTACAATATACCACTGACTTTGTCAAATTGAATAATATGCCATCGAGTTTTCCCGAACGTCTACTGCGTGCCATCGCCGTCCACAAGCCGTTAGGGTGCATCCGTTTGGTGTATTGAATTTTTTCTTAATGACTAAAATGCCCATGACTAATAAACCCTAGCACCTGTTTTAGTAAAATATTTTGGTATTCATTTCTATATCTATATGAGCTCAGTGCCATGCACCATGTTCAAACTTGTTTTATATCTAACTGTATGGGGTTGATTTTTTTTTTCATTATGTACATTTATTTTTTTCCGATATGTCCCATTTCAAAGTCAACAGATCACTAGTTCACTACGTCTCTACCAACGCGTGAAGCTAGCAATCATAGGCTGTTATATGATTCAATCAGTTTCTCTATATGTATTCATATAATACATATGTCCCTCGGCAAAAAAAAAAACATGTACAATGAGTTAGGGGCAAATAGGTCTTTTTACAGCTCTAACAGATGCCCAACTAACAGCTTCTGGACTGTGATGGCACGCAGTAGACGTTCGGGAAAACACGATGGCATATTATTCAACTTGACAAAGTCAGTGGTATATTGTAGAAGTAGTGAAAACTCAATGGCACTGAGTGGATTCTCTCTAAGATATATCATTTCTTCGAGGTTATGCATAATCTACATGATAAAACAACCATCCAAAAGGCTATAAATAAATAAATAATTAAAACAATGGCTTCATTAAAGAAAAAAAAAGAAAATCACACAATCCAAAAGCCAAGACCTTAGAACTAGCAACAATTACACTTAGGAGATGACTCAGAGGGTAGTTTCATTGCTTCCAATAGACCCCTTACTCTAGCATATGCAGTCCGGTCGGTGTCCGCTAGGTACATCACCGACGCCTTCGTCTTCAGAGCCTGTAGCTCTACGTCTTCTAGTTTTACCTGTGAGGAGGTCGTGTCTGTTGATCTTTGCTTGTATAGCGAGCAGATCTACAAGGGCGATGCTCTTCTTCACGGGCATCAATGGTGGACCGGAAAGCCGCGATGGCTAGGGAACCGGAGCTAGCGTATAAGCGGTGGCGACGACGACGATGATGGAGCTCGTCCACAACCTTGGAAATGGTGCACTGTGGCTGCCAGCGAGCGTGGATGGTGTTGGAGGGAGAAAGAAAAGGAATGGAGGGCAATTTAATCCTAGATAATATTCTAACGTGTTGCTATGGGCTGAGAATGGTATTCTATCGAATCCCTTTTGCAAAATGGCATTTCAATAAAACCCACTTTTGACAATGGCACAATGTTAGATTTCTCCGCCGAGGCCCTTTTGGGTTCACTTTTTGGCTATATTCTTTGCATCTTGCCACAATTTCATCTTCTCCTTTGCCATCGAACTAGTTGGATCGTCCGTTGTCGGCTTTGTGGAAGAAGTAGAGAAGGGACTTGATTACCTTTTTTTAGAAGTCCTTCTTTCCTTATTTTAGGATCTTATGTCAATTTGCTCAGTTTCAAGGTGCTTTCCTGTAAACTAGATGTACTCTTAGTTATCTTTCTATAAATCTATCTCGGAGCGAAATTTCAATCTCTGGCTCAATTGTCGTTCTTGTTTCCATATTCCTGATTTATCCACTAGGACAATCCAGTTAGCTCTTTGTGCTGAGTTTTGTCACATCAACGATATTTCAATTCATCCTATTCTTCATAATTTAACGTTGAACCCATTTCATATAATGGGAGTTTCCAGAGCTTTCGCCCCAGTTTGCTTTAAAAAAAAGCACTACACTTCTTCCAGAGCAGACATCCATTATATAAAGGTATATAAATATCGCTCAGAACAAAATGCTGAGTGACTAGTGAGGGCCCCCTGTACACCACACCCATCCATCCCCTACAAAAGTCTTGTACGAGGTGATACGGCTTAACCATTCTCGGTTTGTATTTACTTAGGGCGCCTGATTATGACTTTTGGTTAGTTTTGTCGGCCAACATGCACTCCCCAGTTGCTAAAGAAAAAGAAGCCAATTCGTTTCCGTGGCTCAGAGAAGATCTCTCCTACGTACTCTCCTAGTTGTGTTTTACTTCAGACTTTCAGTGATTGCGATGTAGGACGAATTCAGAGTTTGTAGTCACTCTTTGGTTTTCAATCAGAAAAGAGTACAGTGGTGGATAATGCACGGTAGTAGGATGCATGCTTAGCCGGTTATGTACTGCTAGGATTTGTATTGTCCATGTCATGATAATTGATAGCTCATGGCTCACTTCTATCAGGAACAAGTTACTGCGTCATGAACATGACAGGAGAGAAGGA